GCCAAGCTTCTTTCTCTCTCTCTCTCTCTCTCTCTCTCTCTCTCTCTCTCTCTCTCTCTCTCTCATTTATTTTAATCCTCCCCCTAGGATATTTTCCCATTGATTTTTAGAGAGAGTGCGAGGGGGAGAGACAGAAAGAGAGAAGCATGGATGTGAGCCATACATCGATTGGTTGCCTCCTACACCAAGAGGGGCCTTCGGGCTGGGGAGGAGCCTACAACCAAGGTCCGTGCCCTTGACCCGAACTGAACCTGGGACCCTTCAGTCCGCAGGCCCCGACACTCCTGTCTCTCTTTAAAAAAAAAATAAAATCTTTAAAAGCCACCCCACCCAAGCAAGATATACAAAATCCTCCTTCCCCTTTGCAAGCCTGCCGGCGCCTGGTCTGCATTTAGATGTGTCGCCCCTCTTGCATGTAGCGTGCTTTCTGCCAGATGGAGACCCGATTGATCGTGTGAGCGGTGAGCGGTCGGTGCCGTGGCACCAGCTGGTCCTTCCCGCCTGCCTTGAAGCTGCCTTCCGTCATCTCCACACACCCCAAGGCCTATTTCCAGGCTGTCTATTCCCACCCGGGGTGGCTGTCTTCCTGTGTCAGCATGCGCGCTGCTTTTAGAATCAGGGGGAGGGGTGTGTGTGTGTGTGTGTGTGTGTGTAAATAGCAATCCCTTCAGAACCCCTGCAGAGCCTGGTGTGTGTGTGTGTGTGTGTGTGTGTGTGTGTGTGTGTGTAAATAGCAATCCCTTCAGAACCCCTGCAGAGCCTGGTGTGTGTGTGTGTGTGTGTGTGTGTGTGTGTGTGTGTGTAAATAGCAATCCCTTCGGAACCCCTGCAGAGCCTGGTGTGTGTGTGTGTGTGTGTGTGTGTGTGTGTGTGTGTGTGTGTGTAAACAGCAATCCCTTCGGAACCCCTGCAGAGCCTGGCCCTGGACAGAAACACCAGGAGGCCGAGCTGAAGGGGCGGGTCTCCCCACCCAACCAGGAGGCCAGATCGGGGAAGGGAGAGAGAGGAAAGGGCGAGAGCTGCTTGTAAAATAAAGTCTTCCCTTTTATTTCAAATCAACCCATTCCCAAGTTAGTGCCGCGAGTTGGGATCAGAGGCCCTACGCCCACCGAGGCGGGTGGGGTGGGGGTGCTCGTGTCCCTCAGGGCTGGCCCCTGGTGGCCAAGGAGGAGGGGCCCCTGGCTGGCCAGCCCCGGGCCCTGGCCTTCTCCTGGGCTACGGGCTACGGGCATGAGGAGGAGGCGGGCCGGGGAGGCGGTCCTGTCTGGGGTGTCCGTGGCCAGGGCCGTTGTTAGCGGAGGGAGGCCCGTCAGGCTGGGTTAGTGGGGTCTTCTCCGGCAGCCCGGGAAGGAGCTGCAGAGAGAGACAGAGACGGAGCCGGGGCTGGCGGGAAGGCCACCCAGGCTCCACGAGGGAAGGAGGGGGGGACCGGCTCCCAGGGCCGGGGGTCACTCTCTCACTCACCGGGGAGGGGGCACAGGCTCCCGTCTGGCGTGGAGAAGAGGCTCAGATAGAGGACTGCCACTGCACGAAGCGCTTGGATTCCTGGGGAGGTTGGGGTCAGAGGAGGGCATGACATGGGAATCTGGCTTGGTAGTGTGGGCCCCAGCCTCCTCCCTCAGACCCAGGAGCCCAGGCCCCCAGCCTCCTCCCTCAGACCCAGGAGCCCAGGCCCCCAGTCCCTCCTCCCTCAGACCCAGGAGCCCAGGCCCCCAGCCCTCCTC